CCAAAAAATGATAGGTTCGAAAATTCATCGGATGATGATTCTGGGAATATTATTATGAAAAGACCAAGAAAACAAGCGTATCCTTTGATACCACGATTCAATTCGGAAAATAACACGAAAATCCACTCAGATTCTGCAGCACCACCAAGGAAACGCGTCAAACAAGCGGAGCAGATGTTTCTTGATTTTGGACAAAAGAATTTCGGTGTTCACACGTGTCCAGAATGTCATATGCTTTATAGTCGAGGCACAGTTGAAGATGAGGTGGTGCATGCAAAATATCATAAGGCAGTTGTTAGAGGAATTACTTATACGGTAAAGATTCATTTTACAAAAAAATTTATTGATCATATTTTTTAATATTAATATTAATAATAATTATAATATAAATTTACAGAGTTATAAGCATGAAATTATGTTGAAGCAGTTTCCAGACGATAATAGTCGCGTAATGTTGCTCGTATATAACCAATCAAATCCGTTTGAAAAACGAAAGGTCTATTTTATAAAAATGGGTGACGCCAAGGGTCAGGTTTTCAAGTTTATTTGTTATTGACTATACTTTGTCCTGATCAGAAACGTGTATGAAACCTAATTACGTATCATATGTGTCGTTGTCACGGACAGTTAACTTGAAAGCCTGGAGTCTTGTTTTCTGGTTTTCCTTTGGCTTCACTCAAATGCTATCGTTATAATATTGAAAACCAAGTCACGGGATATGTGATTTTACTATATCCCGTGACTTGATTTTCCTATATACGGTATTATTAATAAATACTAAATCATTTATGATAAATTCATTTTAAAATTAGATACTCCAAATTCTTAATGTAATCGATACCGAATTAAACTCTATAGAGTTAAGTGAGCAGAAATTAGATCAATGCAAGATTTATTTATACGTTACTGACAAGAAAAAAGTTGAAGGATGTGTAATAACTGAACCAATTACGAGAGCTTACAAAATTTCACGCAGTGATGATAGTACTCAAGTTGAAAAAATGCAAGTCGGAACTTCCAATAATGGGTCGGCAGTTTTTTGCTTGTTAGTATATATTTTTATAATGAAACTAAAGTTTGAAATCACATGGTAAAATATTTAGATTAATTTAATTTTATCGTTATGGTTAGTACAAATCCAATTCAAGCAGTATGTGGAATAAACCGAATATGGGTATCCAGGCCACATAGGAGGAAAGGCATTGCGACAAAACTGTTAAATGTTGTTAGGTACGTTAAATAACTTATAACTTTAAAATTGAATATTTACTAAGATATTTTTATTCAATATTATAGAGAAAAATTTATGTATGGATGTATTCTCAAACCTAGTGATTTGGCATTTTCTCAACCAACTGGAGATGGTCAAGCCTTTGCCGCTCACTACACTGGCACTAAGGAATTTCTTGTGTATGCTGAAAATTAAATACGTACATTAGATACACTAAATACACTAAATACACTAATACATATGATACGTAGCATTTCTGAATTTTACTGTTTTTAGATGTTTAAAATCACGAGCTTATCCATTAAATCAACCAAATAAATCAAATTGAATTTATTTATTTTAACAATCATATGCATTACGTAGTATGCATTATACAGTATAAATAAATCTAAATTATGTTAAATTTGATGGATAACTAAAATCGGTAATGTCGACAAAGTTTTCTTTAATAGTGCGCATTGAAGTAAATCGATATAACTAAGCGCACATTATTAATGAATGTAATAGTTAGTAATTTGTTAAATTTCATGAGTATAATAGAAATTTCAATAATAATTACCAAGGCAGGACTTCCGGCTTTGTCATTAGTGCCAGATGCACGTGAACCACCAAATGGTTGCTGACCGACGATAGCACCGGTAGATTTGTCATTAATGTAAAAGTTACCAGATGCATGTCTCAACTTGCTTTCACCGAGTATAATAGCCGAACGATCTTGGGCAAAGCTATTTTTATAATATTGATTATTGTAATATATATACATATATATATATAATGTGGATTATAAGCAAGTAGTTTTAACTTACACTGATCCAGTTAAAGCATATGGAGATGTTTCATTAACTATATCAAGTATTTTCTCGTATTCGCTTGCTTTATATCTAAAGTAAAATGTTAAAGAAAATATTAATTAAAATGATTAAATTTATCTTTTTTTAAATAAATCAGATACTTACACATAGATTGTGAGAACAGGTCTATAGTATAATTAAAAAGATTAACTGTCAATATTTATTTATTGTAATCCTAAAAGGAAAGGAAGAAAAAAATGATTAAATTACCCAAAGATTTCTTCACACATGGTTTTGCTTTTCGGATTCTTTGTGACAATTACGGTAGGATTTACAAAATAACCCTTTGAGTTATCATAAGTTCCACCAGCAATAATTTCACTATCCACATCATTTTTTGCCCATTCAATGTAACCTTTGATTTTCTCAAAAGACGCAGCATGTCTATGAAATAAAATTTATATGAGAATATAATTATACGAGAATATAATACATGAGAATAAAATGAGAAAATATCAAGATCTTACATGACTGGACCAACAAAGTTGCCGAATTCTAATATATACAGATGTATCAAATGTTAAGCGATAAATAAAAATATTGCACCGATGTATATATAAACATAACTTACCATCCATAGAACCTACTTTGATCTTTGACATCTCACTGAGCAAGTTTTCACGGAAATCGTTCCATAATGAATCTGGAACGTAAGCACGAGAACAAGCAGAACATTTTTGA